TTAGGCCTGAAAAGTCACAAATTGATATTAGTCACACTATACCTTGGCAACTCAGCTTCCATATGCAACCTTCTATACTTCCATTGTAAAGGTGACTGTTTTGACAGTATATTTGTAAGGTATTATTCAACTCTGAAAACCTGTGACCTTTCACTCTGGGGGTAAGGGAGAGAGCTTAGAGTGTGATTGGTACAAAGATTTCCCCCTGAAAGTATCAAGTGTCCCTTGTAGTGCCATTTTGATGGAGCCACCTCCTTGCTGACACTAGACACAGTAGTTTCTCGAAGCAGCCTTGTTTGCACCAGTTAAACTCTCTCCCCACCCCCAAATACTGATGTCCATAGGGCATCACGTTGTCAGGTGTGGGCCAGAACAGAGGAAACTGGCAGATACTGGCAGATAGGAGAGGGGCTCCATGGATGTCTCCATTAAGAGAATGATTTGGGAAGATAGTTTCATTTAATCTAAGGATTTCTAGTGATACTGATAGCAGAATGGGATGGAAAATACACTCATGGTTTATCATGGGCCATAGTGAATGTATCATAAGAAAACTGTTAGAAATGAGCTTTTGTCTCTGGGAAAAGAATCTATTTTGGCTTTAGTGAAATGTTCAGTACCTACCATGGAGACAGAAGATGCCAGACATTCACTCAGCAAATGTTTATTGAGTGTTGCCTGTGTACTTAATCTCCTACATTCTGCCTGTACTTGGAAGCTTCTTGTTCTTGGCTGGGCACTTGCATTGTTTGAATCAATTAATTCATCTTTCTCCCCTCTTCCCCTAATCCTGCTTTTAGAGGAACATCAATATTCATGTAATAAAAAAAAAAAGAGAGAGAGAGAGAGAAACAGCACAAAATGCTGACTCCTGTTTCCTGTCCCACAAGGCCCTCTTTTTCTCTTGGCCCCTGTGCAGGCCTGGCTCTCCAGCAAATCCACGGGTGGTCACTTGGTCAATGCAGCCCTGTGTGCAGGCCTGTCTGCCCCAGCCACCTCCCCGCCCTCGGCCCCCATTGGCTGCCTCTGTCTGCAGTAGGACTGCACCAGGGTCCACACCCTGCCCGCCTGGAAGGGAAGAATAAGAGTCTGTGTCTTTCCACCACTCCTGCCACTCAGGGCGCTGCAGCCAGAGACCACGCAGCCTCCGAAGGTGAGAAAGGATCCTCAGGAATAAATGGTTCTTTTCTTTTTTGGAGAGGAGGGGGAAAGGATGGGGTTAAGGACTGGAAAGTAGCTAAAAAAGTAACTTTAAGATAGTTGGCAGCATTTCAAAAGGGTCAGTGGTATTATACGCTTAAATCTTAACTTGATGGACTTATTACTGCTTATTGTGCACCCTTGACTACATCAACAATAAAGAGATAGAGTGCATTTTACCTGTTTGTGTGACCACAGGTAAGAGAGACTTTCTGTCTAATGATTCAGAAGGGATTGCTGACATTTTTCCAGAGATACAAATGCTGCTTGTTCTCTAACTCTTCTCTCTTTGCCCCACCCTGGGGCTGAGAATAGGAGCGCTGCTAGAGTTCTTGGCTGCTAACTGAAAGGTTGGTGGTTCAAACCCACAGAAGAAAGATGTGGCAGTCTGTTTCCTTAAAGACTGCAGCCTTGGAAACCTTATGGGGCAGTTCTATTCCGTCTTATAGGGCCACTATGAGTTGGAACCAACTTAGTGGCAACAGGTTGGGTCTGAAGCTGAGAATACTGTAGACCTAATGCTAGTTTAACCCTGTATCATAAGAAAATGATTTATCTTCTTCTTCCTGGTTACTTTTTCCATGAACCAGGTAAGTAATTGCTTCTTGGTTTTCCCATTCCCCTCTATCTGAAATGCCCATGCCATGCTGGATGTTGTTGTTGTTGTTCTGTGCCGTGGAGTCGGTTCCGACTCATAGCGACCCTATACAGGGTTTCTGAGGCTGTAAATCTTTATGGGAGTAGAAAGCCTCCTCTTTCTCCTGTGGAGCAGTTGGTAGTTTCAAACTACTGACTTTGCGGTTCGCAGCCCAATTCGTAACCACTACGCTACCAGAGCTCTTTATGTCATGCTGGATACCACTCTGAAATTCCATGAGAATGTAATTACAAACAGGACCAAAGAATTGGGGCTTCTAGTAGGTTTTAATTTTTCTCAGTCTTACAATTCCTCACAGAGGTAGAGTCTCTTTCTTAGAATGGACTCTCAGATAATGAGAGTGTTTTCCTGAGGAGTTAAAGATCTCAAACTTTCCTTCCCAATATAAGAGTAATGTAGAACTTTCACAAAATGAAGTAAGGAGACATGGGCATTTGATTTTTATTTATCTTCTTAAGTCACAGGAAAGAAACAAATGAAGTTATAGTATGGTTAAGGAGAAAACCACATTTTATGGAATCCTATAACACATGGCGCTTTGGTGGCGTACAGGGTTATGCACTGGGCTTCTAACCACAAGGACAGCTGTTTAAATCTACCAGGCACTCTGCAGGGAAAAGATGAGGCTTTCTGCTCCCATAAAGATTTACAACCTCAGAAACCCTACACAGGGTCACTATGAGTCAGAACCGGCCGACAGCACACAACCACCACCAAATAAGATATGAAGTATGTGTTTTATGCCTCTCTTTTTAAAAATCCCATTGGTCATACTTTAGGAAAAAATCATTTAATCTCCCCTTCTCCAAATCATCAGCGTGATGCAAATGTTTACTAGGCTTTTTCTTTTCTCTAAAAATAGTAATAATTGAAAACTTGAGGACAAAGGATGAGAAAGTATGAAACATTGGCGCTTTTAATTGATCTGAATGTTCCTATATATGTGTTATGCCTGATGTTTTAGAGACTGAAGGAAAAAATTAAGTACACTGATTACAAATAGGATCACTTTAGCAAATCTTATTTCCTTTGAGGGATCAGAAATCAATCAAATTTTAGAACTTTTGTTTTTCAGATGTCAATGATATATTCAACATGGCAATGATTTTCAATAATGATATTTAATATATTTCTAGTTATAACAGTGCAAAGGTTCTTAATTGATTTCCTGATTTAGAAATCAAGGCCAAAAGTTGGTAAACTTCTCTAGCAGAGCTTGCCAGCTTTCAGAAAAATGGACCAGCTGCCCTTTGTAAAATGTGCTTTATTTTCAAGATTGGACAGATAGTCCCTCATTTTGCTGGCCATGATATAAGGGTCATATGATATGGAGGAAGGATGTAGAAAGCTTCTTGATTTGGTATCTACAGAGACTTGTCCCAATCACATTCTTGAATAACCCACCATTTCTCCATTCCCTTGGGTTGGCACATTTTGTTTTTTTTTTCCAGTTTTTCACATCTTTTTTTCATTTTCTGACTTTGTTTTTTTTTTTTTTTTTTTGCTATGTTATCGGGAACAGAATGATAGTTTACATGGAAGAACATCGGCTTTACATTATCATTTCATTGCAATGATTACAATCTCCTCCATGCATCATCATTCAACAGTATTTGCTTCCATTCCCTCTATTTTTGGGAATGTATGCAAAAAACACTCAGGAATACATAATAATTTAAACAGCCAAAGGGCACATTCTGAAAGCCTGCCTCCTGGCTGCCAGCACTCAGTCTATAGAGTCCTGAGCTGCTCTCTCTTCATGCTCTCATCTTTGCCTCAATCTCTGGTGTTGCTGCTTTCTGGATAGGGTTCCGCAATCCACTTGTGTTCTTCTCCCTTGATGGTCCTAGGGTTTTCTGTTTCTGGACTGTAACATTAACTACTCCCCCATTTTTGTTACAAAAGTCTACATTTACCGTGTGACAGTTGCAATTAGTCATCATAACAATTACTCACTATTTAATTTTAAGAATCTTATCCCCATCTCTTTTTACCAGACCCATCTAGACAAGATGAAAACTATTCAGTGGGGACTCTATCTTCCCGCACACTCTTAAACTAAACTCCCTTTTGAAACATTGTAAGTCAGTCACTTCAAGTGCCTTTATTGCCCCCTCATTTTAGGTAAGCAATATCTAAGTTGTCAGTCCCTAGCTACTCTATCTACAGAGGGAATAGGATTGATACTTGATGTAAAGACTCCTTCCCTCTCTGTTGGTATTTTGAGCTACTACATCCATAAGTATAGGTCAAGTTCATCAAACTGTAGCAATTTACACTCATTTCCTATATCAAAAATTATTTATCTTCCTCTAGTTGAGTTCAGATTATCAAGCCATCGAGGCTAGGTCAAATAGGTACTGTCTGCAAGTATGGGCATTCTTGTGCATCTCTCCTCACTTCATATCAGCTGGATGCTTCACTCTCAGCTCTAGCCCTCCATGGCTATGTCCTTGTCCATGGGCTCAGGAGTCCCCAGGTCTCACCACACTTCGGACCAACCAGCCCTTCCTCTTCTCTCTCTCATCTCCAGGTTAATGGAAGTCTATGGACTGTGGTTGAATGCAGCTCATTTCTTCATTGCTGCCTTTACCCTTCTTCCACTCACCAGTAGACCAATGTGGTCGGAGCTCACACCTTTTTGAATACTAAATATTTGGGCTGTAGCTCAGTCTCCAGCTGTATTCTGTCTACTACTGCATCAGGATTGTACCAGTTAATCATATAGTCTTATAAGGCACTTTTATTTCTGGTAGGTCAAGGTACATCTACATATATTGCATAATGCATACCTACCATATGCAATACAGTATTCCTTTTTCCAAAAAAAAGTAGCTATTCTATCATACTTATTTTTCTAGATAGATTTTACCTATTTTTTGTAATGTTCCTTTTATTTTAAAAACTGCATGAAGTTTTGCATTTAAAATTTAGTTAAATGTATGTGTTAATGCAGAGGAAACCAAGTTCCTACATTTTCTGTTTCTTAGAATGTTTGAAAGGGCCTGCATTGTTCTTGTTAAATCTATTCTTGGATAAACTGTGTGTGTCCCTGGATTGAATTGTGTGCAGTTAACACATTAAGTGTTTTACATACAGCACAATACATGAGAAAGCTTTGCTTTCTAGAGAGCCTTGTACGATGTCTGAACTTGAGAAGGCCATGGTGTCCCTCATTGATGTTTTCCATCAATATTCTGGAAAAGAAGGTGACAAGCACAAGCTAAAGAAGTCTGAACTGAAGGAGCTCATCAACAATGAGCTTTCCCATTTTTTAGAGGTGAGTAGTGTTTTTGAAAGTGGCAGTTTGTCCACTCTTCATTCTACTAATAAAGCAACCTATATACTGTCTCTTTCAACTGTCCTACAGGTGATTCCAAATCCACTTCCAGACTCCAGGGTTGCTTTGGATAGCACAATTGCCCTTATTATGGATGTTGGATGAGAGGGACCCTATTGGTTCATTTTCTTGTCGTTTACCTTGTGTATTGTAGATATCACTGTTGTTGGTTGTTGCTAAGTGCTGTCAAGTTGGTTCTAACTCATAGCAACCCTGTGTAGGGTTTCCTGGAGTGGCTGGTACGTTTGAACCACCAACTTTGCAGTTAGCAGTCCAGTACTGATCATACAACTCCATGTAGGTCCATTAAGGAAAAACTATTGTTTTAAAGGCAAAATCACAAGTCACAAATAATGCTGACTTTTTTGAAAAATCTAAGGAATTATAGTAATAATGAAGCAGAATGGATGAGAAATGTACTCATGACTTATCACAGACAACAGTAAACATATAAGAAAACCGTTAAAAATAAGCTTTTACTTTGGGGATCTATGTTGGTTTTAGCAAGATGTTCAGTACCCACCATGGAAATAAAAGAACAAATGTTTTTTGAGTGTTGCTTATATTCAATACTATGAGACATGCAGACCTGATAAGCATAGCCTTTGTTTTCGGGGCACACCACCTGGGTACATCAGTGAATGACTGTGACCCAATCAACTGATAGCATCATCTGTACATGTTCTCCGGAGCCCAGGGCTCATGCAGCAGACTCCACAGAAAGAGACCGATTAGCTTTGGTCCCTCCCCAGGCAGTTCACACTCTGGCCTGAGGTGGAAGCATGTACAGACACCTGCACTGAGGGATTTATTCCCCTACCTAGACTGTCTCCAAAGACCCAGGGTCAACCATCTACTAAGTATCTTGTATGCACCAACCTTTTGTCCTGTGTGAACGAACTATAACCCATCTGGTAACTGATGTTCCTTTAGGACTCAGAACCAAAGCTGGCTCATGTCACACTTTAAGGCAGATGTAAATACGGGTAGCATACACATGAGAGATGTATTTCCTGCTGATGAGAAGTTTCCAGAGTCACTGAAGCAGAGGAATGGCTGAACAATAAACCTACACACTAGTGTCTGACCAAGTTCTACTTCTGGGGAAGACACAAGAACCAGGGCAGGGAAGCTGCCCTCCCCAAGCTAGGCCACTCAGTTCAGGACAATAAGCCTGGGGTACCAATACTCCTGGTGATGCAAGTTCTGGTGGTTCAAACTCACCCAGCAGCTCTGCAAAAGAAAAGACCTACTCATAGAAAAATTACAGCCTGGGAAACCCTAGGGAAGAGTTCTACTCTGTCCTATAGGAAAACATGAGTCTAAATTGACTTGATGGTGCACGACAACAACAAAACCAGCAGCAAAGTCTACACATTGTTTGATGGGTTAGCTGAGACTTTTCCTGTTAGCACCCTCACTCTAGAGGAGTGCAGCTAGGACCTTCGTGTTTGCCGTGAGCTCTCCTAAGTCTCGAGTTCTGGGACCTGTTTTCTCAGGCATTCAAGTTCAGAGCATGCCAGCTGTTCCACATCATGATGTCATCTAGCCCTACTAATTGTGCTTTCAGACTTAATAAGTCCCAGTTTCTTCTTCTATAAGTAGGATGAAATTTGAGTGTCTGAGAGTGCTTAACAAATAGAAAAAAGTTAGCATCTTGGAACTACAATTTAAAAAATATAAATAATTCACAGAAAATATATCAAAAGGAGTCTGGTGACACAACAGTTAACCAAAGGTTGGTGGTTCAAATCAATCCCAAGCATGAATGGGAGAAAGACCTGGTGATCTGCTCCCATATAATTGCAATCTAGGAAACCATATGGGGCGGTTCTACTGTCACGGGGGGCGGGGGGTGGGGGGGTGGGAGAGGTGCTATAATTCAAACTGGCTGTATGGCACAAACCAACAATGAGACATGTATCAAGACAACATGAATTTGTTGGCCTGGGTTTATCAAGACGATAATTTCAGTTTGGAGGAAAACTTATCATGAATTTGTTGGCCTTGTCTTTATTAGGATAATTTCAGTTTGGAGGAAAGTCTACAATATAATTTCAAGTAAAGTACACATCCTATCCATCTTTTAGCAGATGCTTATAGGTCCCACCCAACTGGAACCACAGATTTTATGTTTATGTTTATATTTGGAGTCCTGGTGTGGTGCTGTGGGTTAATGCGCTGGACTGCAAAGTCAGTTTGATCTGCAAAGTTGGAGGTTCAAGCTCACCAGCTGCTCCTTGGAAACTGTGTACAAGGTCGCTATGGGTCAGAACGGACTTGTCAGCACTTAACAACAACAACAAATATAAATATAAGCATACTTATATTTGTTATTGTTTTTAACTGCCATGGAGTGGGTTCTGACTCATCGTGACCCTGTATAGTTTTCTAAGAACAGCTGCTGGGCTTGATCCACCACCTTGTGGTTCAAATAGACCTTGTGGTCTAGTGCTTATCCTACAGTGCCATATTTGTATTTATATGTTTTATGTTCAAGGCAGCCATTGTATGTTAGAATTGGCTTCTTCAGGACAAGACCCTGTGTTCTTCAGAACAATTTACGTCTTTGCTCTTCTACAGGGTTCAGTGTCCATATACTTTCTACACCATATTTGTAATCCAGCACTATGGTGTTTCCTCTGAGACCTTGGTCATCACTCCATTACTACACCATTCACTTGGCTTCAGTGTCAGGCAGGAGGACCGTCAGGGAAAATTCTCATGAGACCTCAAGTGGGAAAAAGAACATAAGGAGTAAACACATTTGGGCCACGTTCCTGAGAGTTATTTCAGCAATAAAGAAAACTTTCAGTGGGTTAAAACCCACTAGAAGCATTCATTTTAGAGACTTCCACACAGACGTACGAAAAACTTCTGTTGTTGTTAAGTTCTATAGCACTTAACTCACAATGACATTATAGGGTTTCTAAGGAGTGGCTGGTGGGTTTAAACCGCTGACCATATGGTTAGCAGCCCAGTGCTTACTTTACAGCATCATACCAGAACTACTTAGGGGTGCTGAAAGTTCATTTTTTTTTCCTTCAAGACATTTGCATCTAACATGCTCAGGCTGGTTTAGACTGTAACCCTGTTTTCAGGCATTTTGTTTAAGTATAAAAATCTGCAGTTTTTCAGATGTTGGTTGTTTATTCAGTCATTTCAAGAAGCTAGGTGCCATTGAACTTAAAGTAAGGTGGGACAGAAGAAAGCAAAGCCCCACGGATTTCTGCCTAGTCAACAAATCTCCTAGTCACAGAAGAAATTATTTCTGGTACTTTACATTTAATCTTATGTGATTTCAGATAAAAATTATTAGAGCCACCTAACTTTTAATAACATCTTGAAAGCACTAAATTCCAGTTAAAAAAACAAGTTGGGCAACTTCTCTTATCTCTCTTAGGAAATCAAAGAGCAAGAAGTTGTGGACAAAGTCATGGAAACACTGGACAATGATGGAGACGGCGAATGTGACTTCCAGGAATTTATGGCCTTCGTTGCCATGGTTACCACTGCCTGCCATGAGTTCTTTGAACATGAGTAAAATTATGAGAAAGCAGCCAACCTGTTCCTGTTATAGAAATGCAGGTCATAACAGGAAGTAGAGAACAAGGGCTTGCAGACTAGTAGAAGCTGAGCTTCCCAGCTGTGTTGTAGCTAATTAGGAACAATATTTGCTTTGTAAAATGAAAAAATGAAAACCTCTTTCCAAGGGTTGTTTCGAAAGGCCCACACCATTACCCTGCTATGTTAGTAGGCATACACACAAGCTGGCTGGTCCCAGGGACTCCAGGTAGTAATCATTTGGGAAAGTCATGGCATAGTTACAAAGCATGTGTTACAGAGGCCTCCATGTTGTGTGGAATCCTAACTCAGAAAAACAAAACTGAATACTGAAAAATGAATTGGAGCATTTGTCATTTCCTTGAAGTCTCTGGGTGATGCAAACGGTTATCAGCTGCTGACTGAAAGGAAAAGTGCCTTAGGAAAAAGGCTTACTTTTGAAAAATCACCCACTGAAAACTCTGTGGAGCCCAGTTAGTTCTACCCTGACATGCATGGGGTCACCGTGAGTCAGACAGGTCTCTATAGCATTGGGTTTGGTAAGGCTCTACAACACTTAAAAATGCAAAGTCTTATCCACAATCATCTGAAAGGGCTGCCTTTCCATAAATTTGCTCACCACGAAGGCAAATCAAACTGAATATAGATGATCTGGCCTACCCAAAAAAAGCATGATCATATTGAGGTTCCTTTCCTTATGATGAACTGTAGATTGCTAAGTAAGAAACTAATGCTAATGGTTCTAAGTGGGAACATACTGACAACTTAACCCTAATTAGAACCAAGAATCTAAATTCTCCTTCTTAATAGATTACATTAAGCTGGATCTGTGATGTTGTTTGTTCCCATCAAGCTGGTGTAGGCTCATGGTTTAACAATGAAATATTTCCTGGTCCTGCACCATCTTCACGGTCATTGGTATATTTCAATCCGTGTGGCTCTTGTGTCAATTCATCTCACTGAGGGTTTCCCTTGGCTTTGCTGTCTACCAAACACAATATCCTTTTCCAGATGATGTCTCCAGCAATCTGTAGGATATAACGTATAGCTGGAGTATGGCCTGGGCTCAGGACCAGAGTTAAACTCTGTCTCTGTGGAGAAAGTATGTATGTGGCAAGTAATTTCATTGCCTTGGCCCCCTTCCATTCAGTAGCGTGATGGGCCACATGACTGTCTAAATGTGCGAGTACTGACTCAAGAGCACACGTGATGTGTTTAGTTGGTGGATGAATGTCATTTCAGTCTTGTTTGGCTAAGGAAAGGGCTACAGACTGCTATTGGTGAAATTATGTGCTTGAAGAGCTGAACTCTATGTTTTGTATCTACAAATTTAAATAAATCAAGTTTCAAATAACTCATATAATAAGTTAGAAATATAATGTACCAAATAACTTCCAGGAAAATTTTAATTAATTTTCCCCACCTCCTCCCCACCATTCCCCCCCTTCCACCCCCACCCCATGGGTATAGACTTGGAAATTCATAAACCAGTTGATTGCTTGTATTTGCATTGCATTAAATAACAAGAATGCTGTAACAATTCTCTGTAGCCATTAAACATGAAATAAAAACAAAATACCTGTTTAACCAGGAATGAAAAATCCTGAAACTGGATACAGGTCTGTCTTATCCACGTACTTCATAAGTTGCAATCCCCAAGGTCTGGGCAAAAAATGGTTTCAGGGGACAAAGGGAACATTCAGACTGGAGCAGTCACAGCACACCTGGGAGGCCTGGCCTTTACAGACCTAGCAAGGACACAGGTCCTCAGGCTACTTCCCAGGAACTTCCAGCCCAGTCACCTGCCACCTGCCCAATACGTCTGACTTGGTCAGAGTCATGTGCCCTATCCTGAGCCAATCACCAGGGAGAGGAGCTGATTGGTTCCACATAGTCATGAACTCATCACTGTGGCAGACTTGGGAGAATCTGAGATGGAAATAGCTGCTCAGCACAGGGACAAAGAGCTGAGTAAAGTAGTGGGTTATAAATTGGGCTGCTAATCTCAAGTTCAGCTGTTTGAATCCAGCTGCTCAATGGGAGAAAGATGAGGCTTTCTGCTCTCATGAAGATTTACAGCACATAACCACCAGCACAGAGACAGGGATTTTGCTTTACATGAGGGGCTCTGGCTTCAGGCTTCTAGTGAGACTCTTGTGGTCCTTGTGGCTACCCTTTATGGATGGGAGGGAGGGGTTTGTGACAAACCTGAGCAACAAGGAGAAAGAAGGTGATGGGCTCAGAGTGTGCACTCTGAGGTGAGGAATCTAGCTTAGGACGTGGCCACAGAGACCCTGGATGTGGGACCCCCTTCTGCAAACTGCCCGTGAGGACTCCAGTCCACACCCCACCCCCCATCCCCACACCACGTTCTGTGTAGGTGTCTACACAGCCGTTTTCCCTCTTTAGTCTGTTTCATTTCTCTGCATGGTTAGTAGAACCTCTTGTCCCATGTTCCTGGCCCCACAAACCTTTCCTCTGGAAAAGGAGGCATTCCATTCTAGGAATGTTGCCTACATACCTAGAATGGACCAGAATTCAGACACCAGCGCCAAGCTCCCTCACTGTTCATTCACTCAGTCATTCAGCAGGTACTAGCTGAGTTCCTACCCTGTGCTAGCCCTGGACAAAACTAGGTTCTACCATTCTCCAGCCAGGAAAATGGGCCAGGGAAAAGCAGAGAAGGTAGTGCCCTTCAGTTTCCCCCTCCCCAGGGAGAGACTCTTCTGAATAGTATATGTCACAGCCAGGTGGAATTGAGCCTAATAGTCCCCTCCAAACAGCCTCAGGCCAGTTGTTGTTGTTAGGTAACATTGAGTTGGTATGACTAATAGTGACCTTATGCACAGCAGAACAAAACACTACCCAATCCTGGGCCAACCTCACTGCTGTTGCCACGCTTGAGTCCATCGTGCTGCCACTTGGCCAGTCCATCTCATTGGGGGTCTTCCCTTTTTCCCAGACCCTCCACCTTACCAAAGATGATATCCTTCTCCAGCAACTGGTCCCTCCTGACAATATGCCCAAAGTATGAGAGATGAAATTTAGTCATCTTGGCCTCCAAGGAGCACTCTGCCTGCACCTCTTCCAAAACAGATCTATTGGTTCTTTTGCCAGCCCATGGCACTTTCAATATTCTCTTCCAACACCATAACTCAAAAGCATCAATTCTTCTATGGTCTCCCTTATTCACTATCCAGCTTTTGCATGTATATGAGGTTATTGGAAATACCATGGTTTGGGTCAGGTGCACCTTAATCCTCAAGCTGACATCTTTGCTCTTCAACACTTTAAAAAGGTCTTGTGCAGTAGATTTGCATAATGCAATACATCATTTGATCTCTT